AGGTCCAAATTAAAAAGGAAGAACAGATTTCTGGTCACGGGTTTTGATTCTTTTTACGTTGCACACAGGCCCACAGCGTTTCTCATGGGCTTCTGAGAACCAAAATATTTGACCTCAAAAAGCAAGGAGCCCAGTCCTGCAGAGTTCCCGCTCTCTCTCCCTCCCCCTCACCCTTAGCGGTAGGTCTCCTCTGCTGACCCACCCCTTCAAAAACCATCTTGGCTTGCTGGGACCAAGGCAGGAACTGTACCTACAAAGTCATTTATCAAGCAAAAATGCTGACCTGGTTTCCCGTGATACGTCTTGGCCTAAGCCCGCGAATCCCAGCCAGCAATGAAGACTACAAATATAGCCACGAAGTACCATCTGCCATGGTCCTCTACTTGTGGGGGCAAAAACTGAGCAATGCCTTTTTTGTGGGTGGGCGGACACTCATCCTTCCTCCCTCAACATCTGGGTGAGTCTATCAAGGCACCACAGACAATGAGCTGCAAATCCTGGGCTGCAGTCACACACGCTATATAATCCACTTTCAATCCACTTTCAATGCACATTCCAACTGGATTTTTCCTGTGTGACCTTGTGTCAAATTCTGTTCCTCTGCTCCCTTGCTGGGTTTTTGCGTGCCCCTTAGAAACAAGCCAAGGAGAGGGGTTTGATACCGAATCCAACCGAATCCAACAAGAACTCTGCGTTTTCTAATCTTCGGGGCTCAGGCTACACCACTATCTGTCACATTCAGGGGTCATTTCGTAGAAAAAGAGGTGCAGGAGCTCATTAGCGTAACTTATTAGCATAACTTATTTGCATATGCCACACCCCCTGCCATCACCGGAAGTGTGTCAGAAAGCAACACCCACCACTCAGGCTCCACTGGATTGTTTTGGATTGCCAGCTATTGGGGGGGGGGATGTGCAGATTTGTCCTCGCAGAGGAGGGAGAGCTTGTACCTGAATAAAACCTGGTCATAAGGGTGCCACTGGACTGTCTTGGACCAGGGGGCTGGGGGGGGGGCTGTGCAACTTACCTGGCTGCTTCTTGCTCTGACTGAGGGCTGCTGGGAGCAGGGGGTGAGGCTTGTTGCATGTGCCCGCCCCCTGGGCTCTTTACTGCTGGAGCTCCGCTCCTGTGCGCTCCTACAGGAAATGACCCCTGGTCACATTTGACTGAATGAGACTCCCGCAGAAGTGCGAACAGAGATGACGGTCACAGACTACGCTTACAGCATGCCGTTTCTCATTCTGACTTCTTTTTTAAAGAAAAGTTCTACATTAATACTCAGTGGGGAAGAGGGAAGACTTGGGCCAGCCTGAAAGAAAGATCCACAATGCACCCCAGCTCACTGGCAGAACATGCACTTTGCATTCCTCTAGACCCAGGTTCGAATCCCAGCAGCTCCAGTTAATGTGGTAGCAGAGCTGAGTAATCCCTTTGGCTTACAGAACCAATGCTAGCTAAAGAAAAAAAAATGCAAGGCTAGATGGACAGATCTGGAACTTATTTAAAAATGTCCACCCTGCCTTTCCAAAAGCTTGAAGGGGCTAATAGGCAAATTGGAGGGGGGGGGAGAAAATATATATTTACATTAATGCAGTATCCGTGAATTGCCTACTGCTACAAAATAGCTATTAAAATACCACAGAGTCCACCCTCCCAAGCATCCATGGGGAACTGATCTCTGTAGTCTGGAGGTGAGCTGTAATTTCGGGGGATCCCTGGGTCCCACCTGGAGGGTGGCATCCCTATACCACCCTGATGGGTAGCAGAACAAATTAACAACAGGTATCTCCTTCCTTGCATATATGATCTCTGTGCCCTCCAACTTTCTCCCCTGCCGATCAGGGGTTTTCAAAAGCAGGCCAAGGTCTTACCAATAGAGCATGACATATAGCCCAGCTCTACCCCTACAGGAAAAGTCCATAAGTGACGCATGCAACTAGTAACCACAGTGCTTTCCATTCATACGGCACTTTCAGACTTCTGAAGCCTGTGCAGGAGACCTCACCACAATGCTGTATCATCATTTCCGTACTGAAGACTGAGGCTGAGAAACAGTGGGGGGTCCAAGTGTCACCCAAACAGCATTCAGACATCATGATAAAGTATGGTTTGTGCAATAAATTCAGGTCAGGAGATACATAACAAAACAGGGGCCCTGGTCACAAGGAGAATTTGCCGCGCAAAAGGCACAAATGCTGGGAGGATTTTCAGGGCGCAATCACACCATAACATCTGGCAAGCGTAGCGCACCCATGGCCAACCCGTGGCATGCTGCCGAAGATGCGCAGTTAAAAAGTACCTGCAAAGATCTACTAGCAAATGGTTTGCCACGGGTTGCAGACGGACTCGTTCGGTGTGATCACGGCAGCGCACGCCTATTCCCTCTGGCCGCACTCTTTGCGGCACGTGCCGAAGGACAAAACCCCAGTGCGTCGCTGTCGCATCTGATCGCATAATGGCGGATCAGAATGCGATGGCGCAAATAGCCATGCCTCCCCCCGCGTTTTCCGGCACGTGTGGCCAGGGCCTCTGATTACCAAACCAGATACAAATGCTAGTTTGAAACCCTGGCTTGGGGCCAACCAACAAGCCCCAGTTGGTTTGACTGCCTGCATTTGGACAGTACAGCTAACTAGGGTAGCGCTGGGGATGTCTGAATGATTCATGGCATGGGTAAAATTTGAACCAGGACCTTCCTGAGTCCCAGTTCGGCCTTCTTGCTGTTACGCTACACCAACTAACACCCAAGAAGCTAGAAATGAGGCTAATGAAGAAGGTAAAATCCGGACTTGGTCCCAAAGCCTGGATTTTGCTATTCTCGGCATAAGGAAGCGCTGGCACTCTGCCACCTGAGAGAGACTTGAGATGTTAGCAATCGCTTCCTTCTTTGGATCAAGCGCCAGTCATCCCCTTTTGCTGCTGCTTCACACATGGACTTACCTCAGGCACAAGGGAATTGCCAGTAGATTGTGAGCGATGAATCTATTAAACAGTTTGAGACCTCTGGAAGGCCCAGTGCAGCCACCTTCTAAGGTGATCAATACAATGACTCTGGCCAGAGCACAAGGTGCGTACTCTTCCAAGGGCAAGTGGTCACTCCATCTAACAGCAGAACAGCTAGTCCCTGATACGGACACAAAAGCAGGAAAACAGGGCCACCCACAGACAAATTCGGTCTTTCTACATACCTATGGGATGCCCCAAGTTTGCAGGAAAATATGACTTGTAAAATAACAAAAAGGTGGGGGGAGACCCAAACCTAGCCTGATGAGGACCAAGTCCAAACTTTTGCGAGCAGCCAAGAGTCAGGCTGCGGTCACACATGCCAGAAAAAACGGGGATGTGGTGGGGGGGGGAGCGAGGCTATTTCCTCCGGAGGAATATGACCCGCAGTTGCATGATCACACCTCCCTTGGAAGCTGTGGGTGCAGACCGTCAGTGCGTGATCAGACGCGACTGCAGGTGAGTCGGGGGGGGTTGGTGCTGTTCTTTCCCCATGCGCTTAACCGAGGGAGCGATGAATCGCACCTCCGCACCGAGGGCTCCCTATGGAGTTTGCGATGATGCGCATACTGTGAAGGGGGGGGGGATAATGGCACAGAGTTGGGGTGGCCTGATCAGACCATCCCAATGCCATGAGAGCGCACTGGAGCGATCAGACACCGGAGAGTCCATCTGTGCCCCGTCGCAACCCATTTACTACCGGGTTTTCCCCGGTTTCTTTTAACTCCGTTTCTGCGGTGGAGCAGAGTGGGTTGCCGACGGCTGCGGGGCGCTTCCCAGATGTTGTTGTCTGATGGCACCCTTTAAATCCACCCGGCATTCGCGCCTGTGTTGGGTCTAATTGTGCGTAGGATTCCAGCCTCAGTTAAAAGGGAAAAGGGGAGGGAGAACTTAGCCTGCTGAGTCTCACCAAGTTGTTGACAAGAACTTGAGGAGAAATTGGGGGGGGGGGGATTCCCAAGGGGTTTCCCGCCCCCAGGGATCAAAAGGACCCCAGCCTCTTCTTACTCTTTTTGACCTCTTAGAGAAAGCCTGCTTGGCTGCACCAGTGGAAAGTGTGCCCCCCCCCTGTTTTAACTGGCCTGCAATTCTCAAAAAGCTGATCACCCTGACCTAAATCATGGCCACATTATCAGAGAGGCATCTGCTTGGCAAATTTGTCTCTGCCCGCAACAACTAAGTCGGCCCCTCGACCCATCTTCTGGGAACACAGATTTAATTAGGTGCCATGCCTGGAGAGCACTGTTCCTATATCAGGGCCAAACTAGGTGAGATACGAAGGCCAAGGGATCAGGACTCTTTAAACTAAGCATAGCTAATCTGATCAGAGCAGAGGCAGGGGTGCCCAACCTTTTCCCTGATTAAAATCTCTCTCTCTCTCTCTCTCTCTCTCTCTCTCACACACACACACACACACACACACACACACACACACACACACTCTCACACACACACACAGAGAAAGCTATATTTCTACCTTTGGCATGGATCTTGTATCTTTCCCCTCATGGGTGGGAAAGCAGCTAAACAATATTCAGAAAAAACGGCCTGATGGAAAACGGTTAAACACACACGTGCGCGCCCTTGCAGTTGCTCCCATCAGATTTCCCGAAGCTGCATTTCAACCAAAAGAAGACGATTCATGCATTTCTTGGCATCTTGCCTCGTTCGGCCCACCTCTTTCTGCTTTTCTCTCTCGCTCTGTCTTTTATCACATTTGCAGGCGCCAAATCTCCAGATAATCCCCCCCTCCCCGTTTGTTTCTTGGCCTAACCCAGATTTCACTCCTTTGTAAACTACAAGTTTCTGAATGGCGCTAAGAAAAGCTGCCTCACCTCTCCCAGCAGTGTTACTTTGCGAAACTGCATTTCCCGAGGGCAGCGCAGGTGGGCAGTTAAGCTAAGCAGGTATTCACAGTTCCGTCCAGCTTATTTGCACACGGGCATGCATCACTCGTGACCTTACAAGAATCCAGAATGAAGCAGGGTACTACTCACCATTGCTGAACCTCCTTCTCTGTGACTGAAAAAGAAACGAGAGAGAGAAAAAGAGATGATAAGGGCTAGTTCAGCCACTCACGCACCTCACTTGACTTCTCAGGGCATGGCCCTTTAACACTCAAAATTGGCTCACACATGCAAAGACTCCCCTGCGCTCATTTCCTGGCAGTCAAACGTACAAAGTGGCTTCACCAGAAGGCAGTGTTATTTGAGGGGATCTGACAGTTCTGCTTGTGGATTCATAGCTGCGAGGGCCCGTTCACACATGCAAGTCACCACTCGACGCTGTGCAGCCCTCCCTTTATGAAAACCCGCATGTGAGAACCAGCACCCTAAGATGCATTCACAGGGGCTCTCCTTGGGGCACCCCATGGCCACAGATACTCCCTTTGCATTTACGTCATATGCTATGGAGCGAAACCCTTAACTCCCCATGTACTCCCCATGTTCTCAGCTAAATCTAGCCTCGGCCACCATTTCAGCTCCAAGTAAAGCTATTTCTGGCACACACAAAAGATTGTGAGAGCCCAAGGATGTCTTTGGATATCTGGTAGATCTCCATACCAGATAAGAGCCTGGCACACACCAGATTTTGAAAGAGGTTTGCTGCATACACAGATTGCTCAAAAACGTGAGAAATTTATGTACACACTGGATTCCACTGACTCAGAACCTGGGTCCTTCTAGCTCAGCACTTTTCACTCAGAGCAACAGCAGTTCGTCAAAGCCTCATACACGGAGAGGTCTATGTCAACATCAGCTCCACAGAATCCTCTAAAGGGAGATGCAGAGGAGTGGACCGGGGACCTTCTGCATGCAAAGCAGGTGCTCTAACCATTGAGCCACAGGCCTTCCCATAATTTCTTAATGGGTTCCTAGAACTAGGAGTTATGGGATTCTGGCTACTGAATCTAGATTGACTTTTGTTCTGATGGTCCAGGTTAAGACATCTAATGTTCAAGTCCTAGGCACATAAGTGCCATCAAGTTGCAACTGTCTTATGGCAGGCCCAGCAAGGGGTTTTCAAGGCAAGAGAGAAGCAGAGGGGGTTGGCCACTGCTTTCCTCTGCAGAGCCTTCCTTGGTGGTCTCCTTTTTAAGTACAGATCCTGCTTAGCTTCTAAATCATAGCAGCCCCAGCAAGGGCTTTCAAGGCAAGAGAGAAGCGGAGGTGATTGACCATTGTCTTCTTCTGTAGAGCCTTCCTTGGTGGTCCCCTTTCTAAGTACAGATCCTGCTTAGCTTCTGAGTTCTGATGAGATCGGGCTACACCACACTGCCTTCATTCCCCTAGGCACACTTACATGGGAGTAAATCTCATTTGATATCATTGGACTTACTTCCGAGTATGGAACCAACAAATTGAGCTACCAGAAAATAAAATAAAATGCAAATATTTATTACACAGTGCATAGAATCTTAGGATTAAAAATGACATACATAGGATACCATTAAAAACTCAGATCGTAATATACAGCAACAAGGAGAATTTGCATGTCCAATAACAAAGAATCACGAAGAAGAAGAAGAAGAAGAAGAAGAAGAAGAAGAAGAGGAGGAGGAGGAGGAGAAAGAGATTGGATTTATACCCCACCCTTCACCCAGAGCAGCTTACAAACTCCTTTCCCTTCCCCTCCCCACAACAGACACCCTGTGAGGAAGGTTGGGCTGAGAGAGCTCTGACAGAAACGGCTCTTTTTCGAGAACAGCTGTGCCAGAAATATGGCTTGCCCAAGGTCACCCAGCAGCTGCGAGTGGAGGAGTGGGGAATCAAACCTGGTTCTCCCAGATTAGAGTCCGCGCACTTAACCTACTACACCAAAGTGGCCACTACATTAAATGGTTACATATGTATATTAACCAAAGAACCCAATGCGTTTCAGCCCAAAGGGCCTTCTTCAGTGGTCAAAACTGTACTAACACACACATAAAATCATAACAATACCAGTATAAAATGACTTCCGGTTTGTGGATTGGCGATGGCGGTCGCTTTCCCCGGACCTCGGGGGAGCGATTAGCACACTAGCGGCATGGAGGGGTGCTACCTCAAGTGGCATCCCCACGGAGCCTTTGTGATAGGCTCCAGGCCAGAGGGCTTTTGAGGGTTAGCCTCTTCGACGGCTCAATGCTGGAGAATCGAGGCCTCCCTCCGCCCTGACAGTCCTGCTGTTGTGTGGCCTCCAGGCACAAGCTAATTTGACCAGGACAAGCACGGGAGATCGAGCGGAATAACGAATTATGTGAGTGAGGTCAAAGATATGACCAACAATGAATGTGAGTTCAAAGTAAACGGAGTATTTTAAAAAATGAATCCCCCCCCCCGTGGGAAAAGCGGAGCGCAAAGAGGGATATTTTTTATTTTGCAAATACTACAAAACTACAAAGAAATATTAGGGAAGGGACTACAACTAAGGATAAAGGAAAGCAAACCACACTAAACTAAAACCCCAAGAGGAGGAGATCTTTTCACTGTTAGTAAAAAATGTTAGTACTATAAGTGTTAATATCACAATATACTTGTAGAGTTCTTGCTTATAACAATTCACTATTTATATGTTATTTTATTAGTTGTTATGAGAGAAATCTCTGATCATCTTTTTGTTCTTCGCTTCAAAAGGCCATTTTCCAAGTCCTTCTGCCTTTACTTCG